TTCCTGAATTTCAAAGGAGGTTCAAGGCTTGAAGAGGGAGGCACCGCCAGTCCTTGGAGGGTTAATGCCGTCTGCTTTGCCTGACAAGACCAGGCCAGCCGAGGTCCCTGGTGGGACCGACAATATGTCATCTCGTCTCTTGCCAAATGTTCCCTCTCTGGTGCCATCCCTCCCTGCCCCCTCCCTGCCTTCTCCTCCTCTGCCTTCCCTAAGATACGAGAGAATCGCAAGCAGGATGAGGCCCTCTGGGTTCTGCCGATGGGCGCCTCTCCACCAGGACAGCAAATTTAGCTCCAAGGTATAAATAGGAGTTGTGTTCTAAAGGCAGATGGCATTTGTGTGGGCACAATTGCCACACGGTCGGCTGCCACACCATTAGGTACGCGCACGGGGCCTTCTCAGATGGAGAGGCACAATGCCCCAAATTTCCTCCAAATGGAATCGCTCCCGTCCATGGAAGGCCAGCAGTATGGACTGGGCACCCTCCAATGGGGTTACTCGAAAGCAAGCTGCACTGACTGGTCTGCAGCTTTAGAAATCCGACACCCTTATCTGGGGAGACAGGACGCTTTTCCTTGTTGGATGTGTGCGCTTGAACTAAAACCAAGCCAAGGTAGCCTGTGGGCATGGGAGAAATGGATCCAAAACCCACAGCTGGGCAACACTCTTATTAAGACAAAAATGCCACAGGAGGCTGCATTTCCAGAGCAATTAATAAAGCTGGGAGGTAAACAAATAAACAAAGCAGTCATGGAGAAGTTCTGCAGCTTTGAATTTTTTTTAATTAAAGATTTGTTTTTAAAAGAAGTTTAAAAATGAATGCAAAGTGAAAAAGCAAAGCAGAGGAAAGAAATCAGAGAGGAAGTTAAAAGTGCAAGGAATAGAATAGAATAGAATAAAAATAGAGCTGGGAGGGATCTTGGAGGTCTTCTAGTCCAGCCCCTTGCTCAAGCAGGAGAACCTATAACATTCCAGTCTCTTCTTAAAACCCCCCAGTGATGGAGGGCCCACAAAGGAAAAGAAAATTAAAAAAGAAAAAGTGCAAAGAAACAGCTTCTGATCTCCTTTAGAGCAGTTATAAGTAGAATTATAAAATTTACTGCTTGCTACTCAGTTACAACATGCCTCTCAATTTCTGTCTAATCATCTTAAATCAAAAGTTCATTGTTTTCTGTTTTAACATTAAAAGTCTATAAGAAGTTTCCAGTTAGCAATAAATGTAGATATTGGCTTTTGTCTGATCAAAGAAGCCAGCAAGTTCCATCACCTTCACCAACCATCCCTCTATTGTGGGTCGTGTGAATTCTTTCCACCTTTGGGCGTATAATAATCTTGCTGTAATTATCCTTTGCAAAAAGGAAAGTTTTGTGGCTTTCACAAGCAAAGGCAACATGGTTATGGGAAGCTCACTTACATACCTAATTCACCTCTGACCCCAATTTGATCATCCTGGATAAATCCATGAAATGAGCTAAACCCTCAATCCAGATTAACCGTGCTGAGTTTTGGCATTCAGAGAACACACAATGCTGCACCAAATCAGCTGCACTGTGGTTTAAGATAATGGCTTAGGGAATCCAACAGTAGAGCTAGAATAAAATAACAGGGTTGGAAGGGACCTCGGAGGTCTTCTAGTCCAGCCCCCTGTTCAAGCAGGAGACCTTACGCCATTCCAGAAACATGGCTGTCCAATCTCTTCTTCAAAGCCTCCAGTGATGGAGCAGCCACAACTTCTGGAGGCAAGCCATTCCAGCGATGAATTGATGTGGGATTATAGAATAAGAAAGTTGGAAGGGACCTGGGTGGTCTTCTAGTCCAGCCCCCTGCTCAAGCAGGAGACCCTACCATTCCAGACAAGTGACTTTCCAGTCTCTTAAAAGCCTCCAGTGTTGTAGCACCCATAACTTTGGGAGGGAAGCCATTCCACCGATGAATTGATGTGGGATTATAGAATAACATAGTTGGAAGGGACCTCGGAGGTCTTCTAGTCCAGCCCCCCTACTCAAGCAGGAGATTCTATACCATTCCAGACACATCATGACCCTTTCCCCCTTCTAGCTTTGACTGGATGTTGTGTGAACCGAACCAACAAGCCCCATTTGGTCGCTGAGCAATAGAGAAATGAGTTGGGTACTCGGTGTACAACTTCTTAACCTCTAGTAAAAAAATATACAAGTGCAAATTGCAGCAGCTGATATTTGGAGACCAGGCTGCTGTGTAAAATAGAGAGCGGGCTGGGACACCCCCGCCCCCAACAGTGTTGGTGATTTTTTTACACACTAATACGGGTGATGTAATACCAGCCTTTTGCAACCCTGCAATTCAGCTTCCCGATTTACATCCTGGGAATTGGAAATTTCAGTGGACTCCCTTGAATCTTATGGGAAATATGCTTTGATCCTAGTTCTCTTTTCCCCCTACTGAGCAGCTAACCTGCTTTCTTCTCCGCCAGGTTTCTCCTTCTCCTTTCTTCAGTTTCTCCTACACCTTGGTTTTTGGTGGCTTGTAATCCTTCCGTTTAAAAAATACATTAATCTTTATTTTTTTAAAAAAATCTGATGCCTGGAATTAACAGAAGATAATAACACAGAGACATTCAGATGGTTAAACTCACACATTTCTGCAAAGAAGCAGGAAACTCAACTGGCTAAAAAGTTGTCAAAATCGACCCCCTGAATGTCACTAAGGCAGCGAGGAACGACAGATGAGGACTATTTGAACAGCTAAAAAAACAATTCAGCATCACAGGATATTTAAGGTGGGCTGAGAATTTTTTCTCCGGGGCTGTTTTAACCTTGTTTCTTACTGTATTGTGTCTTTTCCGGGGATTGCAGGAAACAAGGGTTGCACGGAACACGGAGCAACTAAAAAGCGGGGGAAAGAGCATTTATTCATTCTATTTGCAAAACATCTCACGAAAGTGCTGGGCTAGGAGAAGTAGAAATTGGAATTAAAATTGCTTGGGAGACGCCTCAGCTACCTCCGATGTGAGGACGGTCCCATTTTGAGGGCTGGAGGCGAGGGACCCTTAAGGAAACTGGTTTAAGGTTAAAGTAATATGTGGGATAAGAAGATAGGTAGGTAGGTAAGTAAACAGACAGATAAGGTAATCCCTACTTGGAGGGATGGATGGAAGGAAGGAAGGAAGGGTGGATAGACAGACAGAGCAACAGGCAATGCCAACTCAATGCATTGGAGAAGTTGAACCAATTTCAGCCTACAGATGGGATCAAAGGCTGGAGGGAGCCACACCTGTTCTTTGGGACATGTATTGTGATGCTGTGCGCTTTGGAAGTTGTGAGTTGCTCGAGATGGCGGAGGAGCAGAAGGAAGGCAAGGAAGGCAGTGAGAACAATTCATCAGTGAAACGACTTGCCTGCAGAAGTTGCGAAGGCTCCAACCCTGGGCGTTTTTAAGAAGAGGTTGGGTAACCCTTTGTCTGAAGTGGTGAAGGGTTTCCTGCCTAAGCAGAGGGATGGACTAGAAGACCTCCAAGGTCCCTTCCAACTCTGTTATTCTGTTCTATCCTGCAATTTCCCTCCGCAGTCCAAGGCTCTTTTGCCTTCGCTTTTGCCGCTTCCTGGGTCGTTCAGCGGGGCAGCCGCTAAGCGGTTACAAGGCACCGCCTTTAAACTCAAGGGGGCATCACGTGCCCTTTCACCCATCCAGGGCGTCCAAGCACCCCAGAGCTCCCTTGCAGGGCTGTTGTTAGCCCTTCTTACCGTACCTTCTGGAGCTCCGTCCGGGGTGGGGGTGGGGGGGTGGAATCAAGGGGTCTCCCTTGCAGAGGCGGCCTCGGAGCAGCAGCCAGCAGAGGAGTGGGAGGGGGTGGGGGGGCGGAGGGGCTTCCCTGAGGGGGGGTGGAAAAGCTCGCGGAAACCTGCCTTCCTCCCCAGCGCCCCCCCCCAGACTAGGCGAGGCCAGGCGCGGCGCCCCCCGCATGAAAAATGCATGGGGACCAGCTGTCTCGGCTCCCCGCGGGCCCCTACCCCGCCCCGGGCCCCTCCCGCAGCCAATGGCATCCCGGGTTGGGGCGGGGGGGGTCACCCGGGCGTCCAATGGGAAGCGGCCCCCCGGGCCCGCGCGCGGCCAGGCGGCCGATAAATGGCGCGCGCCTCCAGGTGCGCCCCCGGTGTCCGCGCAGAGCACCTGCCGGAGGGCGCGGGGCGGCTGGCGCGATGGAGGCCGCCTCCGGACGGCCCCGGGGCCAAGGCGCTCGCCCACCGCCCGGCGCTGCAGGACCGGCCAGCAGGGCGTGAGGAGCGGCAGCCGCTGCCCGGCCCCGGATCTACCTCGGAGGAGGAGAGCGGAGCGCGGAGGTAAGGCTGGAATTGCGCTTCTCCCCGCTGCCCACCCCGGTACGGCTTTTTTCCCTTCCTCCTTCCCTCCTTTCTTTCCTTCCTTTCCTTCCTTCCTTCCTCCCTACCACCTTTCCATCCCTACTTCTTCTTTCTTTCTTTCTCTTCCTCCCTTCCTCCTTTCCTTCCTTTCCTTCCTCCCTCCCTCCCTCCCTTCCTTTCTCCCTCCCTCTCTACCTCCTTTCCATCCCTACTTCTCATTCTTCTTTCTTTCTTTCTTTCTTTCTTTCTTTCTTTCTTTCCTTCCTTCCTTCCTTCCTTCCTTCCCCCCTCCCTCCTTTCCTCCCTTTTCTTCCTTCCTTGCACATCTGGAGGATGCCACGGGCTCCCCAGCAGGGAAACAGAGGCAGGACGGGCAGCGGAGAGCCAGCGCGCACCGCAACAGGCAGAGCAAGAAGTTTTCTTCTCGGTACTTTTGCAAAAGGGAGACCGTCGGAGAAACCTCGCGCTCCGGTTCGGTAGAACCAAATGCACCCAAAATAGCTGTCGGGAAGGCAAAAGAGAGAGAGAAAAATCTGAATCGAAACAACCCGCTTTCCCCTTTGACGCGTTCAGAAGGAAGAGCGGGGGAAAAGCCCCGTTCATTGATCTCACCGAGGTAGTGAATGGAAGGCGGCGACTCCGTTAGGATTTAGGTACGTGGCCGGCTACCCTTCTTTTCCACCCGAACCCTTCCCTTCTTCCCCCTTCTCCTTCTTCTCTCCTTCCTTCCCCTTTCTCTGGGGTTGCTAGTGAGAGAGCTCTGCAGCCGTTTAAGGGAAAGCTGATCCCTTGAATGCCCACCCTGCTAATTGACTCCTGTGTGCAGACGGAGGGGCAGGAGAGGTAAGAAAAGAGAAGTCTAAAGAAGAGGCAGCTGTTTGGTTTACTAGACCTTTCCAGGGGAGCAGCTGAATCCGCCAGCGAGCAGCCATCCCCTTGCTGGCCCTTCTGGGGGAAGACCGGGCAACGGGCAAAAGGAACTGAATCGGGCGCAGGAAGAGAAGGCAACGGGGCCTGGGCTCTCTGCTAGCTCTCCTTTGAACTCTAACACCCCCAAGGCCGAGAGGCAGCCCGGATGGAGAGCAGAGGCCTCATCAGTTTTCTCCCAACAAGCTCCAGAACTGGGCAAACTCTGCACTTGGGAGCGTCTTGAAAGCCACCAAGGGCTGCCCCGTTTTTTTGTGCTGAGCAGGATGGCAGCACAGGCGAGGAAGACCCCTCACTAGCCCTAGGGGCATCTCTCCCCCCCACCCCGGTGAGGATGCGGGGTCTTCAGCCTGGAAGGATGTAAAAGTACAAAGGTCCAAATTTTCTTGCCTGGTTTCAGGAGAAGGCGGGAGTTCTACATTCTGGTGGGTTTACTTTGGGCTCGTCCTGCCGATGGGCAAGGGGTTGGCTCTTGGGTGCCTTGAGTGAGTGAGAGGCAAGGGGGTGCCTAAATAAATGTATTGAAAGAGTTGGGGGAGGGGGGTCATTTCTCTGTGGAGGAGATGGGTGATAAGCCCTTTGGGTGCCTTTACTTCCTGCCCAACGCAGGATGCCAGGTTGGTGCCACCATTCTGCAGAATCTTACCCAAGAAGCAAAAAGCAGTCAGAGCAGAGCAAATTGTAGCTAGATTTTTAGTTCTGATTCAAAACGCAGAAGTTGGACTAGGGAATTAATCTGAAATTCAGTAGAGTATCTGAGCTTTCCTTTCCTTTCCTTTCCTTTCCTTTCCTTTCCTTTCCTTTCCTTTCCTTTCCTTTCCTTTCCTTTCCTTTCCCTCATTAATTCCTCCCTCCTCCCCTTTCCTTCCTTCCTTCCTTCTTCTCCCTTTTTAATTCCGCCCTCCTCCCCTTTCCTTTCCTTTCTTTTCCATTCCCTTCCTTCCTTCCTTTCTTCCTTCCTTCCTTCCTTCTTCTCCCTCCTTAATTCCGCCCTCCTCCCCTTTCCTTTCCTTTCCTTTCTTTTCCATTCCCTTCCTTCCTTCCTTCCTTTCTTCCTTCCTTCCTTCTTCTCCCTCCTTAATTCCTCCCTCCTCCCCCTTTCCTTTCCTTTTTTCCCCTTTCCTTCCCCCCCCTTTCCTTTCCCTCCCCTTCTTATGGGTAAACTTTCACACAACTAAAGATCATTTTCAGACTTTGGTGTATTAAAAACTAAGTCCCAGGGACTAGTACATACTCCCTTTGGAGAGATTTGGCAAAAAAATGGCATTTCAGCTCAATTTTTTGTGCGCCTTATGGAGCTTAATTCTGTCCAAGCTCAATGCTGGCTATTCTCTAATGCCAGAAAGGGAATATCTTCAAATCTACACCACCATAAATGCAAACGTCCCGGCACCCACATTTGAGATCAGAGGCCAAGCAGTTCTCCCAGCTATTCAGAGGAGTCAACTCTACTTGCCGTTATCCTAATTCATGTTGTAGACCCCTAAACAACCCCTCCCCTCTTTTGCGGTCCCTGTTCTGGCTCCCCTTTGATCTGTGGCTTGTGTACCTCCTGCGCTGCTTTGAAAGCCAAGGCATGCACTGAACCGGCCACCTTTCCAAACACGTTTAGACTCTTAAGGCAGGAAGGGACTTCGGAGGTCATCTAATCCAACCCTCTCCAAAGAGCCATCAAATCTTTTCTTGAAAACCTCCAGGGACCAAAGCGTTGTGTCTTCAAAGAGAGCGGCTGTTCCACCATTCAGTGTTTTCCCAGTCAAAAAGTTTTTTTCTCCATCCAGTGGTTCTTATCTTGTTCTTGGGGGGCTGTGGAGAATAAATCCCCTCCCCCATTTTCTGGACCAGATCTTCAAGGACTGGAAGACTGAATCTCAGGCCCCCTCTTAGCCTTCTCTTCTTTCTATGGATCAAATCTTTCTTGTGGCCAAAGATCAGCCTATTCTTTTAGTTGAACACCCCAAGTTCTCTTAGCTGTATTTTTGTAGGATTTAGCCTCCAAATGGTTTAGTATCTTTGCTGCTCTTTTCTGCACTCTCCCTAGTTCCTCAGTGTCCTTTTTGTGTTGTGGCGACCAGGTGTGTCCATACCCAAATCCCAATTTTGGCAGCTGTCACGTATTCCTGGCTGAGGCTTAAATGGTCTTCCAGGACAGCCTGACCTCCCTTAAAGTGGAGATGTGCTAAGATGATGATTGTCCAACTTCATAATCATAAGTTCATTTGTCAAGCATATATAAGATAACAGGTCAAAGTATAAACATAATTTGAATACATGAAAAGAGGAAGTAAAAAGGAATATTAGGACAGGATGGAAGGCACGCTGGTGCTCTTATGCCCCTTACAGACCTCTTAGGAATGGGGTGAGGTCAACAGTAGACAATCTAAGATTAAAATTTTGGGGGCTTGGGGGTTTGTACCTGGAGTCTGGTTTTTCCTGCCCATTACAGTCAAACTTCACATTTCTTGAAAGCATTTTGTTGGATAGGATCCAAAATTCAATTCTATCAAGATCCTTTTGAATCCTGCACCCCTTTTCTGAGGTATTAGCAATGCTGTTGTGTGTGATCCACAGTTGTCCAGTTGTGTGTGATCCACAGATTGCATGGCGATCCTTTGTGTCCCCTCATCTAGCTTGTTTATGAAAATGTTGACCAGCGTTGGGCTTTTGTAGATCTAGAAGATCCATTAAGAATCACATGTTGGTGATGGTTGTTTGAACTGTTTGGAAAATGGGATAGGGAGGTCTGCGTTTCTGTGAATAGGCATGGGAAGGAAAGGGAGAAAAAGAGAGAGGGAGAAAGGAGAAAGAGAGAGAAAGAAACAGAGAAAGAAAAATGAAAGAGAAAGAAAGAAAGAGAGGGAGAGAGGGAAAACAAGATGGAAAAAGGGAGAGAAAGGAGAGAGAAAGAAAGAGAAAGAAAAAGAAAAAGAGGGAGAAAAAGAAAGAAAGGAAGAGAGGAAGAGAGAGAAAGAAAGAGAAAGAGAGAGGGAGAGAGAAGAAACAGAGAAAGAGAAAAAGAGAAGGGGGGAAAGGGAGAAAGAAAGAGAGAATGGGAGAAAAAGAGAGAGGAAAGGGAGAGAGAAGGAGAAGGTTGGGTGGAAAAGGAGATGCGACAATTGTTCAATTTCTGAAGTCAATTCCTGGAGCTCAAAAGATGGGAGGTGAATTATGCAGCAAGGCCCACTTAGACTTTTAAGCAAGGGTCCTTCCCATGCTCAGACCTGAAGATGGGGATTTGTCACGGTGGAGGAAACGAGGAGGACGGTGTCTTCCAGTCCAGGGGACACCTGGTCGCCATTGCCACTCCCCACCCCCCACCCTGGGCTGGCCTTCTCCTTTCTCACCTGCTGCACAAACATGCCCGGCTCTCGTCAACATCTCCGCCCACTAGGCAGGGTTTCAAGCAACAGTTGGGCAGTTAAGAGCTGAGCCGCTGGAGAGGGCCTCCCAGGAACCAGAGCAGCTGTCAGAAACGTTCATGTCTTCTCACAGGTAGTCCTCAATTTACAACAGTTTGTTTAGTGACCATTCAAAACTTACAGATTCATTTAACAACCGTGTTGCTAACTTAACAAGTGTAGTGATTCCCGCAGCAACTGTGGGAAGAAAGACCATAAAATGGAGAGGGGAAAAAAATCACTTAACAACTGTCTGGCTCAGCAGTAGACGTTTAGGGCTCAACTGTGGCCCGTAAGTCGAGGACTTCCTGTACTTTCTTACAATGAAGAAGGGTGGCCACCTTGGTCCTCCTCCATTGGCAGCTTATGGGTTGTGCCTTCCTCCCCATTCTGTTTCAGGGAGTGTTCCGTCCTTTATCTCAGGGGTCTCCAACCTTGGCAAGTTTAAGACCTGTGGATTTCAACTCCCAGAATTCCTCAGCCAGCTTTGCTTCTGGGAGTTGAAGTCTGGGATTCTGGGAGTTGAAGTCCACAGGTTTTAAACTTGCCAAGGTTGGAGACCCCTGCTTTATCTTATATTATCATTAAAACCTGGAGACTGAGGAACCAGGTAGGGTTGCTTCCATCAAGGACAATGGCCAATCAGATCTGCCCCATCCTTGATATTAAAGAAGCGATTGTGACAGTGTTGGGATTAGGCAAAATATTAGAATTCCTGGAGTTGAAGTCCATACTTCTTAAAGTTGCCACGGTTGAGAATCACTGGGTTAGAGACAGAGATTATGGAAGGACAAGCCACCATCGCTTGTGTCGTGAATGTTCTGGTGTTTGTGTGTCTTCTGAAGAACGTTTCGAAGCATCGCAGCAGGTTTGAAAGTTGGGACACCCACCAAGCTGGGTTCCATTTTCAGGACTGGTGTCATTTTCTTGTAGAGAGGTGGATCACAGAGATCCAGGATTCTTAGGTCAAAGGATCAACTCCAACTGTGGATCTATTTGAGATTGGCATTATTTATATATGTATAAACCCTGTTCACCTCAAGGGGACTTGTGTGAGCAAACTGACATAATGGTGGCCCTGTGACATTGCTTTCAATAGGCATAGGTTTCAATATGTACAGTATATGTATATTATTGCTGCCATGTTGTTTCTCTCATCCTTTCAGGTAGACGGTCAAAGTGCCCAGATCAATCCAGAATTTCTGCACCATCCAAATATCTCTGGTGGGCTCCCATAATTTCATGAGAGTGAATCGCGTGGAAAATTTGAGGTGGATTCCAAAGCCCATCCTGCCTATCCTCCTGTAGGGATTATCCAAAGCCCTTCCCTTCCCTTCTCCTCTCTCTTCACCCCACAACCAGGCTGCCCCTTGGTCTTCTCAGCCACTATGCTCAATTCAGACCAGACCGAGATTGACCTCCAACCCACCCATTCGGAGACGGAGTCGGTCTTCAGCGATTGTGGGGGTGGCCGGGGTGGACCTGTAGAAGACACCGGGTCCCTCAGTCTGTGTGGCCAATCCCGGGGGGCCGAGTCCAGTGATCACATGAAGAAGGACCTTCAGCACCTCAGCCGTGAGGAACGACGGCGTCGGCGGCGAGCCACGGCTAAGTATCGGACGGCCCACGCCACGCGAGAGAGGATCCGCGTTGAGGCCTTCAACATGGCCTTTGCCGAACTCCGGAAGCTCTTGCCCACCCTCCCTCCAGATAAGAAGCTGTCCAAAATTGAGATTTTGCGGCTGGCTATCTGCTACATCTCGTATCTGAACCACGTCCTGGATGTCTGAGTCTCAGGCACCTTGGGGATTAGGCTTGCCTGTGTGACCCACATCGTCAAAAGTAAATCATGAATGCTCTCTCTGGATTTTGGTCTACAGAACAACCTTCTAGGAGAACCCACTTCTGGCTCTCTCTCTCCCATCATTTCTGCCTTCCCGTTCCAGCTACTAAATGGAGCTTCTCATAAGTGCTGGAGTGATCCTAACTCAATGGACCTTCTCCACCTTCCGCTTGAGAAGAAGCTGCCCAGAATTCTCCAGTTCCACCATGAACTTAAAGGAGACAAGGACTTTGGTTTCCTTTCGCCCCAGAAATCTGTAATCAAGGCCCTCACATTGTCATTCCCTCAAGATGCTGGGTTGCGAAGCATCTCCTGATGGGTTCTACACATTTGGAGTTTTGATTGCTCTCCATCTCCAGTGTGTTGAAACGCAGCCTAAACAACCTTCTGTCATTGTGTGCATATCTTTAATACTTGAACATAATAATGTGGAAATTAGCAAGTGGGGGAAAAAATCCAGAAATTTAAAGAGAAGCTTCCTGTATCTCTGAGATCAACATTATCCAACCTTGCTCACTTGAAGATCGGTGGACTTCAACTCCCAGAGTTGAAGTCTTCAATTCTCTCTTCAATTCTGGGAGTTGAAGTCCACCCATCTTTAAGTGAGCAGGGTTGGGAAAGTGTCCCTAGATGGTGGATTTAGTTATAGCGTTAAAAATGGGTTACTTGGGGGTCAAAGAAACCAACACAGACAAAGCAGAAGAACCCTCTGACTTTATTCTTGCAGATCTTCTAATCACGGCACAAATCTCCCTGTGCAAGATGTTGGTTTTGAAGTTGCCACAAGGGCCTTTGGCCTTTTTAACAACACAACACATATGCACACAAACACACTTACTAGTGCTGCCTCAATCTGAGGTGACCCCTTTGCTCGTTTAGGGCAGGTGGCCTGTGGTGGGTGGTGGTGGTGGAGAATGGGAGAGGCTTTCCCAGCCCTTAAGAGGCTGAGGGCCTTCTGTCTGCAAGTCCAGGTAGTCCTTGACTTATGACCATTCACTTAGCAGCTGTTTGAGTTTATTGAAATATAGTGGTTTATGATTGGTCCTTGCACTTACGACCATCAGAGGATTTTCCCTACAGTCATGTGACCAAGCTCTGGGCGCATGTATTTATGATGGCTGCAGCATCCTGGGGTCACATGACCTTCCCAACAGGCTTCCAACAGGCTTTTCAATAGGGGATTCACTTAATGACCTCATAATCCACTTAACAACTGCAGTGAGTTGCTAAAAAAGAACGGTTGTAAAATCAGGTGTAACTCACTTGTGGCGCCACTGTCTTGTTTAACAATGGAAACTCTGGCTGCAATTGTGGTTGTAAGTCGAAGACTATGAGTGGCGGTTGGGGAGCTCCTCCTTAAGTTACAGGTTTCTCTCAAGAGATTGGAGGTAGGGTTGGGACTAAGAAAGGAATGAAGCTTGGATGAGAATTAACTCTGATTTGGTTTCATTTAAACTTAATTTCTGTTCAAGTAACTAATTTCAGGCAAGGCGCTTCCATCATTGGTTGCATTATTCGTGGTAGTTCAGGAGCCACAAGGGGGCTGGGGGTGCCCCAATTCCCACACTGAGGCCCACCCGAGAGACTGCACCCCGATCCTACAGCCCCCCCCCAAACACCCTGGCCTTCATCCCACCGCTGAAATCATGGCAGTCCCACCGCAAAGCCGAATTCGTCGTCGTTTCTAGCTGCACAATGGAGCCCACCTTCTTGACATCAAGACCCACCCTCTATTGATGTATTTATTTGATGTATTTATTTTTTTTCAAGATGTTATTTATTTACAGTGTTGATGCACTTTGGTTTGGGGAAGAAGGTTTCAGGAGGGTGGGAAAAAGAAAGGAAAACATGCCCTTCTGTATGTGTGCATTTTCGTGTACGTCTCTTGTTCGGTGAGTGCAGAGCAGATTCGATCGCTATTTATTATTTATTTTGTAAGCCGGACTGGCAAAATATTAAACTCTTCCATGCAGATGAGCCTAATTTGATCGCCAAAGGGGTGGGCGGCGAGAGACAACAATCCCCCCCTGCAGTTTCCCCCCTCTCCTTAAAAATCCCTCCACCCATTTTATTTCTGGCGCTGGGTGGCAGCTGGTAATTTCCTGAGCAGTAATGGATAGTCACACGCCCGTTACGAGCAGCCTAATCAAATCTCGCACTCCAAAGCGTGAAGAAATCGCAGGAGTGGAAAAATAGGCCTGGAGGAGGCCTCTGCCGCTCCGCCAGCCTCCATCAAGCCAGGGGTGAGCTGCTTCTTCTCTGCCCAGGTGTGTCCTGAAGTTACCTGGGCCCGTTCCATCCTTAAACACGATGAGATGCTATTGAATGTAACCAAGGTGCCACGGAAGGCATCATCGTACCGTTATTATCCAGAACCAGTGTGTTCTGACCCAGCTCCCCAAACACGACAAACCCTCTGAAGTGAACTCAAAGATTCCTTTTTTTAGGAGCGCCAGCAGCCCCGGCAAAAAGTTTCTCTCTCAACGCCGGCTAGCAAGTCCGTCCAGCCAAAAGATGAATAGTTGTCTGCCACATCTATTCCTCTCCACCCCCTGCCTTTTATCCCCAGAACTAGGGTGGGGCTTCGCTAGCAGCGGTGACTCTTCCGTCCCAAGGACCGGCCCATAGATTTCCACTGCTCTCCTCTCCTCTGCCTTCCGCGCATTGGTGCGTCAGGCACTGGACCCAGCTGTTCCTCCTCTTCCTCATCAGCCACCTCCAGACCTGGGGACTGTTGACTCTCCATCTGAGGGCTGACGGCCGGCCCAGGCTCAGCCTCTGCCTCTCTCTCTCTCTCTGCCAGCTCCATTTCCTCCTCCCCCTCGGAGCTCTCAGGTTGCCCTGATGCTGACCTTGACTCCCTAGGTGGAGTCCAATTTTCAGAATTCTGGGAGTTGAAGTCCACGCATCTTAAAGCTGCCAAGGTTGAGAAAACACTGAGGAAGATCTTCTTGAAGAGTCTTCCCCCTGGCAACAGTATTTAATTCACCTTGCTTTGTATCTGGATCTTGTTTTCCAGGTGCCATAGGGTGACAACATCCATAATGCACAGGCAGTCCAAAATTGGGAGGGTACCTGGTTGGGAAAAAAGGCATGCTAAGGGTGGGATGGTTCCCCAAGGCATGAAGTCGACCCTGCTTTAGACATTATGCAAAACCTTGATTCGTTGAATCAGATTTATGGAATGAACGTCAAGAGCTGAAGCCGTGATACGGCCTACAGACCACGACTGCCGCTAGATAGAACCTGCTGAGTTCCAGACCACCAGGACCACCAGAACTCAACTTTAGTGTTATTAGAGGTCATGTGAGAGCTACCGGTTTGTCTGATGGAGGCGCAACAGGTCATAAGTCTGAATGTACAATTGGAGAACAGGCCACGTAGAATGAATTGTTGGATCTCAAGAATCCTTCCAAGCAAGTGTGCCCCCTTTTCCTCATAGCGTCTGAGTGAGTATTTTCTTCCACTTGTTGTTGCCATTCACACACACACAGCTCCTTCCTTTCCAGGTCAGTGGAGACATATTTATATGGGTCCCTGGTGCTCTCAGAGCTTGGTTGCTGTCTTGTGGATCTTTCATTACCAAACTAGGTAACTTCATCTCTGCAACTGATGATGTTATCTAGTTTGGTAATGAAAGATCTGCAAGAAACTAACGCTCAGAGAGCACCAGGACTCTACAGTCCTCCTCCTTCTCCTCCTCTCCACAACCCCCCTCCCTTCTAGCACTGATGATGTTTCATAGTTGGGTAATGAAACATCTGCAAGAAAACCCAAGCTCAGAGAGCACCAAGGACCGCTAGGTCCTCCTCCGCTCTGTGCACCCCACTCCCTTCTAGCACTGATAATGTTACATAGTTGGGTAATGCAATGTCTGCAAGAAAACCCCAAGCTCAAAGATCACCGAGCCACAAGTCCTCCTCCTCCTCCTCCTCTTCTCCACAACCTGCCTCCCTTCTAACAGTGATGATGTTACCAGTACATAGTTGGGTAAGGAAATGTCCGCAAGAAAACCAGTAACCTCAGAGAGCACCAGAGACCCCATCGTGCTCCTCCTCCTCCTCCATTCCATAAATCCCACTCCCTTCTAGCACTGCTGATGTTACCTAGTTGGGTAATGAAACGTCTGCAAGAAAACAACCAAGCTCAGAGAGCACCAAGGACCCCACAGACAGAATCTTGCCAGACTAAATCTTTATTTTTCTTACCCTAACAGACCTACACCTGGGAGATTCTCGGTAGTGTCTATCAGTGGTGAAATGTAAAATTTGTTACTACCGGTTCTGTGGGCGTGGCTTGGGGGTGGGGATGGGGTAATGTGACTGGATGGGCATGGCCAACTTTTTTTTTTTAACTTTTAAAAGCATTTTTTCTACAACCTCTTTGGCCAAAGAGGTTTTTCTTTCTTTTAAAGGCCTCTGACGATCAGGCAACTCAGCTGGGATCGTCAGAGGCTTTTTTTTAACTTTTAAAAACATTTTTTTGGCCGAAGAGGTTGTAAAAAAAATGCTTTTAAAAGTTTAAAAAAAAAAGCCTCTGATGATTGTGCAGCTCAGCTGGGCATGGTGGGGGGGGGGATTTTTGCTACTGGTTCTCTGAACCACCCATTGCCATCACTACCGGATTGGGCGACCCGGTCCAAACCGGTTTCACCCCTGGTGTCTATCCCATCTTTTTTCCTCTTTTTCTTTGATTCAGCTCTGGGCTATGCTGCCTCTTGTCTTGGTCCCCCTCTCCTCCTTGAAATGTGCTCCCTACTTTCTGGGAAGCTACCCATTGTAGTTTATTTATTTATTTATTGGTTCAATTTATATGCCGCCCTTCTCACACACACACACACACACACCTCCATGGGTGCTATCTTTCAGAGTTTGGTTCCAGCAAAGGCCATAAGAAACGCGGTTCAGCCCCAGAGATACAGCAAGGACATTGCGTTTTTTTTCCTGCCACAAACCACACCACTAAAGGCAGGAGGGGCTGGCAGGGTTGCGGGTCTGCTATCACTCCTTGGCGCAGTTGGGAAACTCTTGTGAAGAATGGAGGCCTTTCCAGCGTCATCTTGTGCTTCTGTTGCTAAACCTGTTGTGGAGCAGCTTGCCTCCAGAAATCATGGGCACTCCAACACCGTCTCCTGCCCCAGCTATGGATCCCAAAAAACACAGCACACACAAACTCTGAACAAAACTTAGTTTACTCAAATAACGCAGTTTTAGCAAATGCCGGCTGTTAATAAGCGTTCTTAATAGCCTGCCACAATTCCACAGATAAGATAGTCAGAGTCTTACTGGAGTTGGCCGAAAGCCCAGAAGCAAGGTTGCAGAGAAATCCCAATGCGATAATTAGCGAACTAAAGTTGTTTCCTGCAGCTTGTTACAAGCTGCGTTCTTTCTTAAATAGGCTAAGGGCGTGGCCAATTAGCCCCAAGCCTTACTCTCGAGAAGGCCTCCTCCTGAGGAGCCACTCCTGCCTTTTGGCAGCTCTGCGCACCCGTGCATTGAGAAGAGGCTCCTCCTCTTCATCTTCTTCACTTAAAGGAGCCTCTGGAGGTTCAGAAGAGCCTGGCTGAATCTCTGCCTCTGGCACCACATCTTCTCCAGCCTCCTCACTGTCCGACTCGAGCGCCGGCTGCACAGGCTGCTAGCGCAGCACCACACCAGCCTCCTCGTCATCGGGATCAGCAACAATCTGCGCAGGCCGCTGGCGGGCCACAACACACCGGAGGTTTTTAAGAAGAGACTGGACAGTTACTTATCTGAAATGGGATAGGTCAGGGGTGCAATGCTACCGGTTCGGACTGGTTCGACTAAACTGGTAGCAATGGTGGTGGGTGGTGCGGAGAACTGGTAGCGATGGCAGCACGAGGCTCTGCCCACCTGCCTGGTCGTCATTACTTCCTGGTTTTAACCAGAAAGTAACCTGTTTTTTACCCTCTGCACATGCGCAGAAGATCTGCGTGCACACATGCACTTCTGAACTGGTAAGAAAGGTAAATAGATTTCACCCCTGGTATAGGTTCTCCTGCTTGAGCAGGGGGCTGGACTAGAAGATCTCCAAGGTCCCTTCTAGTTCTCTTCTCTCCTCTCCTCCCTTCCATTATTTCTATTCTATTTTCATTCCATTATTTCATTCTATTCTAATTTATGACCTTCCTCATTTCCACTACCAAACAATTATCATTACAGGCAGTCCTCTATTTGCAACAGTTCATTTAGTGACTGCCAAAATTACAACAGCATTGAAAAAACTGACTTATGACCATTTTTCACACTTATGACCATTTCAGCATCCCCAGTCACGTGATCCAAATTCAGATGCTTGGCAACTGACTCATATTTATGACGGTTGCAGTGTCCTGGGGTCACATGATCCCCTTTTGCGGCCTTCTGACAAGCAAAGCCAAATTCACTTAACAACCGTGTCACTAACTTAACCACTGCAATGGTTCACTTAACAACGGTGACAAGAAAGGCTGTAAAATGGGGCAAGACTCACTTAACAAATGTCTCACTCAACAACATACATTTTGGGCTCAATTGTGGTCGTAAGTCGAGGACTTACGTGTAAGTCATTCAAGAGCACTAAAGACTATCTGTCACATTCTTTAAAAGCGAATGTGGTGTTTTTCAAATTTGTCCACTTGAAGATGAATGGTGTCAAGGGCAGGAAAAGCCCTAGTAAGGCCACACCTAGAGTCCTGCATCCAGTTTTGGTCACCACACTATAAAAAAGAGGTTGAGACTCTAGAAAGAGTGCAGAGAAGAGCAACCAGGATGATGAGGGGACTGGAGGCTAAAACTTACGATGAACGGTTGCAGGAACTGGGCCTGGCTAGTCCAGTGAAGAGAAGGACCAGGGGAGACAGGAGAGCATCTTCCAGTATCTGAAGGGCTGCCCCAGAGAGGAGGAAGGAGGTCAAGGTATTTTCCAAGGCACCTGAAGGCTGAATAAGAAGCGATGGATGGAAACTGATCA